AGCGCTCTCTGTAACAATGACCGACAATCTGCCCCAGAACCCATCCCAGAGCGCTCTCTGTGAGAAGGGGCCGACATCCTGGCCCAGAACCCATCCCAGAGCGCATTCTGTGAGAACGGGCCAACAGCCTGACCTGGAACCCATCCAAAAGTGCTCTTTGTGAGAATGGGCCAACGAACTGACCCAGAACCTGTCCCAGCACGCTCTCTGTAAGAACGCGCCGACAGCCTGACCCAGAAAGAGAAGAACTTGTAGCCTGACAAGGCAGGATGGCTCACAGCAGCAGTAGTTCGAGATGTTGAATGTCATCTCTTAACTTGACGAGTTTACTAGCACATCTTAATTAGCATCCTGCTAGCACAAATACATCAATTAGTTTAGAAGAGGTATCACTGCATGTGTTTTAGTTAATAAATTGGTAAATACCAATGTTTTGGATACAGGGAATCAATACATGCTTGTTGTACTCCAGCTGCTCTGTTTCAGAGAGTAATTTAAGTTTAAAAAGTAACAGACACCCATTAGAACACTTCAGGATTGTCTGCTTATTGAGTTTTGCAAACAGAAGATACTTAAGGTATTGATTACAAAGTCATTTTGCACAAAACTAATTTGAAAGTTGAAAATATCAGTGTAGTTTCTGAGGATAATTGGCTGCAGTTTGAATCTGTTCTTCTCAAAGCTTCTAAAAGCCATTATGGCTTTAGTGTTCCCTTACCATTTTTAAAAAATCGTTTTCCTGTGCGACTGGACAATCTCTGGTCTGTAAGTGTTCTGAGATTATAAACTGGTTTGTTTTCAAACTACACAAACCGAGCAGGATATTCTGGTCAGATTGGCACATTGTCGTACGTGTTATGAACAGACAGCCACAGAGAAGCTTCGGTTCAAATAGCGAAGAGGAGGGTGTGTGTGAGGACGGTCACTCTTCAGGGGACGTGTGAGGGTGCGTGGGTCCATTTCAGAACGAAGAGGTACTCAGTCACCCACCACGCTGATGGCGAACATCGGAGCGAAGGGTGACCCAGTGAAACATGCTCACAATCTACTCACGTTCAAGTATAACAAAGAGGTTTTTTTTTTTAAGTGTTGCTTTTGTGCCAACCTTCAATTTAAGCCTAAGGGTAAACCAAAGTACACAATGATTGTGTAAGAAAATTGTTGGCCCGGCAGCAGATCCATTCGGAGAGTGGAAACTGAGACTCGTTAAACCCTGGGCTGCAAGTGGTGTCGGTGAGACATGCACTGCCCCTTTACTAATCCTACCAGTTCATCTGACTGGCGCTTCCATCCAAAGCGATTTAAAGGTTCTCTCGTTTTTACAACTGGTTATCTTACTGAAACAGTACAGGTGAGGTACCTTGGTCCAGGGTACAACGGCATAGTGCATCACCTAGGATTCAAACCCACAACTTTCCAGGCTGGTTGTTTTCAGGGTCAAACGGAGGCTCGTTCAACCCAGATTACAAAAAGATACTGACAAGTAATAACAAACTCTTTTGTTTTTTACAGAATGCAGGATAGCTTAAAAACAACTGATGTTGACCATAGTCAGTGAGGTTTGAATGAACATCCTGTAAGGCTGTAGTTCCTTCTAGCTTTAGTTAGGCGACAACTTGATTACTTAGGTCTCGTTATTTGAGTGGCATGACCATTGTGTATCTATCCAGGCTGAAAGTGCTTTCCAGGAACCGTGCTGGGATTGCACTTTTTCTGAATGAATTTACAGACAGAATAGACCCTGAAAACTGATTTATGCTATCAAAACTGGGTCCAGACTGAGACTCCCAAACTGGTATATATACATTTCATGTGATCAGTGTTTGCTCGTATCTGATTTAAATAATATTTCAGCAACAGAAGAGACATGTTGTATCTTTTATTCTGTATACAGCATACGATCTAAAACAATCAGACCCAAGTGTCTTAAAGATGAAGAATGTGGACCCTTTTTGTCCCACAAGTGTAAATTATTACAAAGAAATAAGAGCCTAAGTGCTGTTAAATCTGTGATTTTCCTAAAACGGCTTGCTTTCCTTTTTATGATGCTTAAGAGGTTTAAGAGGTCTTATATTTGAGTGGCAAGAGAGACAGTGTCTCACCGTTCCAAGGTGCCTTCACAACACTGGGTACAAAATCTGTGAATGAACAGTTCTACCCCTCCACCTGTTTCATCTCAGTCTGACGCACAAGAACGAATGTAACTGAATCGTGTTTTTCCTGGTGTGATTTTCCTCTGTGAAGAATAAAGATTTTTTTCCCCATCAGTGTCCTGCCATCTTTTGCGGTGGTATGTAGAAGTGCAACATCTTCTTGTCTAATGCCTCTTCATTTAGAAGGCTGTTAATCTGGACTTCTTCCCAACAGCAAGATGTGGCTTTTAGTGACAGATGAGCCATGCTGACTTTCGCTCTGGGTGGCAGACAGCCACACGGGCTCTCTCCTTCAGCGACGGACTGCATCCCATGGACACGAAGGCACGCTGATGCTTACTCGCACGTAAAAACTGTTGCCCAGAGCCAGATAATGGAAAGCTAAGTCATGAGAGGCAGACTCAAATCCTGAAGGGTCTCAGTTTTCAGTTTTTAACCTTGCATGTTAGTTAAATAAAATTGGTTCCCTTGACACATAGAGGATGTTTCTTAAGGTCTTTGGCAATCAAATGACTAACTTCATTAAAAGTGGTTACCACTAAATCACTTTGGAGCCAGGTTAGAGAGAGAGAGATGGTACATTGCTGTGGTGAAATAATTAGCTCCACTGTTAAGGGCTCGGGTGGAACAAAACCTGATGCTGATGCTGAGGCAGGCGAACCCAGCTTCTCCCTCTCCTAGGGAGGGTGGGAAACTGCGGACTTTCAGAGAGACAGAACAAAGGCCCTGTTCTCTCCAGAGGCTTGCTTCTTTCAAACTTCATGCAGTTTTCTTTTGGGAAATGTCTTCGTTTG